AGGGGTCAGGGCGCCCAGGCCCGAGTCAGCTGTGCGCCGGGCGGGAAGATGTGACTCGACTTTTACACAAGGCAACACGTGGAAGCAGGAGGGTTCCCGACTTAGCAGCCCTAATTTTATGATCACGGGTGGGCCGCCGTGGGTGACAGACAGCACGTGGGCTCAGCGCTTGGGGGAGCGGGAGGAAGGAGAAGCCTCTTTGGGCCGCGAGGATGCCACCGTGGATGCCGCTGTGGATGCCACTGTGGACGCCACGGAGGGCGCGGGGCTGACCGCCTTCGCCTTCTCGGCTTCTGGGTTGTTGGGTTGCTGGGCTGCTTCTGAGGGGATTGGGGACAGACTGGCGTCTTCGAGGATCATGACTTTTTTAATCTTTTTCCGCATCGTCTTGGTGACTACAGCCGCATCAATGAGACAAATGATAGCTGCGGTGAGACACAGGGCCTATCGGACACAAGACCACACGCGGGAAGGAAAGGTGGCGTTATTCTGCAGCTCAGGAGCAACCTGTCTTCCTTAACCCCATCCTGGGGTGCAGGCGGCCTTTTGTCCCTCTCTGACCCCACACTACCTGCTGTGCCCCTTTCTGTTATTCCCAGAGAAAGGAATTTTGGAAATGAGGGCTTTTGCTGCCACTAATGACCTCACCTGACTCCTGAGGCACCAGGAAAGGACCAGAGAAGGACACTGGCCTTAGGAGGCTCCAGGTGGGGTTGGGGGGTGTGTGTCCTGAGATGGCCCTTCCTAGACAGGACCCTTGGGCCCAAGGGGACCAGCTGGGAGGGGGAGAACTCCAGGTACTGGACTGAGGTCTCCAAGGAATCTGGTGCGACTGAGACCTCTAGAGTTGTTGAGGGAGGGGACAGAGTTGAGGCTGGGGAGGTTCAGGATCTGGAACTTGATCAAGAGGAGAGGTAAGCCCCGCCCGGCATGGCTCAGTGGTTGAGTCTCGGCTTAGGATCCAGGAGATCCTGGTTCAATTCCCGGTCAAGGCACATGCCGGGGTTGTGGGCTTGATCTCCAGTTGGAGGCCTGCAGGAGGCAGCCGATCAATGACTCTCTTCTCATTAGTGGTTCTCTCTCTCTCTCCCTCTCCCTTCCTCTCTCTCTGAAATCAATAAAGATATTAAAAAAAAAAAAAAAAAAAGAGGAAAGGTCAGGTGTCAGACTCAGAAAGCCCTCTTACTAAATGGAGAGGTGACTGGAGAATGAACCAGGCTGGAGGCAGGGGCACCAATGGGAGGTGGTGGGGGGTTCCTGCCATCCAGGTAAGAATTGATGGAGACCAGGGAGTGGGAGCCCCTGGCAGGTAGAACACTTGGTGGTTGAATTAGCAGATGGAGACCAGCTCCTGTCTGCCTTGGCTGTTTCTCTTTCTGGTCACTTAATCCCTGGCTGCTTAAATGAACTTTTCTTAGGTAGGTCTTGCCCCATTTAATCTGTGAGCTCCCCTGGGGGAAAGGACTCTACCCCAACACTGAGTTTAGGCCTGGCACAATCCAGTGGGATTAACAAATATTTACTGATTATGGAATGGATACAAAGAATTTAAACTTTTTTTTTCTGGATTAATTTCTGTTCCCATTGCTTAACCTCTTAAACCAAAGTCTCATCTCCCCACACCCCATCCCCCCATCTTCCAAGCCATATTTTGTGCCCTTCATATGAGGATCTGAGTTCCAGTTTATCCCAGCCTTGTGACCCAGGATAAGGTATTTAAGTCCATATCTGTAAAAATGAGAGTTGTATAGATTAAGTCAAAACATGCCTCGCCTTGCGTGGAGCACTTGCTGGGTGCTGACAACTTCCTTCCTTCCTTCTTGGATAGGCCAGGCCACTCACTTTTGACAATACCCTCCCCCCCCAATCATTCTTTTCATGTGCTTTTAAAATATTCTCTAGACCAGAAAAGTCAAAGTCCTATTTATAGATAAGGCAATCGTGTTGTAACAGTTAAAAAACTAGTGTATATGATTCTGAAAAGGTGTTCAACACACTTGCTTTTGCCCCTATTTGGAGAATGAGTATTAGAATAAAGATTTTCATGAGCTTAGAGTTTGTGTAACTTCACACCTTCCGAAGTTGTTGGTGCAGGAAAGAGAAGGGGTGTGTGTGTTGAGGATGTTGTTCTGTAAATAAAATAATGAAGGTCTGCCAGTTTTCCTTTTTAAAGGAAATACTCATTTCAAATGGAGTCACGGAGGCCTCTACTTACCCCTCCAACATAGAATAAATGCCTTCTTTCCTTTTCTTGCATTGCCAAGATGGCAACTATTAAAAGGAACACAGTTGTAATGAAACTGTTCATAAGATCCTGTAATACAGAATTAAAAGTGGTTCAACTTTACATGAAAATGTAATTTCATAAAATATTTAAATTGGCCAATTACCTATCAAAGGATGGATGCCTTTTGAAAACTTGCCCTTTGATTATTAAGAGGAACCCCCAGCAGCATAATTCTTACATCTTCCAGAGACATGAGTTTATGTGATTTTAAGGTCCTGGATAGGACTTTGTCAGCAGAAATGGGTTTAATTTCGTTGAAGAACACCATTAAAAAAACAAAAACCTGCCTGGCTGTGCATGGCTCAGTAGTTGAGCATTGACCTAGGATCCAGGAGATTGCAGTTCAATTCCCGGTCAGGGCACATGCCCGGGTTGCAGGCTTGATCCCCAGCAGGGGGCGTGCAGGAGGCAGCCGATCAATGACTTGCATCATTGATGTTTATCTCTCTCTCTCTCCCTCTCCCTTCCTCTCTCTGAAATCAATAAAGATAAATTAAAAAAAGGTGACAACTTTTCCATCAGACTTTTCTTAAAGGCCATAGAAGAGTGAGCGTGAAAAAACCTAGAGGTCTGGGGGCCTATCTCAAATTGGTCTTCCATAATTATGATGTTTTGAAGACTTATATTTTAAATTAATGTGATTCCCCATTCTATTCCACAATACATTTGTTTTAATATAAATATAACATTTTATATTAGGATTTTACTGATTTAATTCCATTCCCAAATCTGCAGGTAGAACCGATCCTTTGGAAGTTGGGTCATATTTATTCCGTAGGTTCACACATCCCAAGAAGGCAGGAACCCATCTGAAGAGCAGGCCTGGTATTCTGGAGCGCATGCCTGTGCTGTTGACTTTTGGCCGCAGTTGAGTCTGCCCTGACATCTATAGGCTATGTGTGTCCTTCCTTTTGGATATCAGTTCTGGGCTCTTTAACTGCTAAGTAAAGTACTGGGCTCTTTAATTGCTAAATAAAGGGTGAGGATGAGTGGGTGGGGGCACATTCCTGAGCATCAGCAGAGGCTGGGCTTTGGTAGAGGAGCAATAATGGAAGAGGGTACTCTGTGTGTCAGTGGCACCAGTTTGCGCTGAGGGGCAAAAGCCCAGGGTGATATAATCACATTAGGGCCCAGGTATCTCATTTGAACATTTTTAGTCTTAAAGCGGCCTGACTTGGTTGCGTTAGCCTGTCTGGTGTACTTGCCCAAACATAGCAAGGAGCCCTGCTGTCCAGTGTATGGGATCACAATGACTCTAATGGAGCTCTTCAATGTGCCAAGCGTTTCCCAGTCATTATCTCATTTAACCCTCATAAACACCCTGCAGAGTCAGTATTGTTAGGATCTCCATTTAAGAGGGTGGAAGAGAGGCTTAGAGAAGTTTATTAAATTGCCTAAGATTGAATATCTGCCAAGGAGTGGAGTCAGAACTCAGCTCACCGTTGCCTCCCATCAGGGACACACACATAAGGAGGGAATGAACTGTCCCCCTAGGTTGGAAGTGCAGCATCCATCTTTGGCATTTTCTGTGGAATGGGTCATGGAGGGTCCACATGGCATGGGACAAAAAAGGTGAGTGTGCTTTTTGTTGATGTCGCTTGTTGAACTCATTTTTGGCTTGCCAGTTCCTAGGTGTGTGACCTGGGGTGTGTTTTATTGCCCCTCTGTGCCAACATGGTAATTTTTAATATGGAGATAGTGACTGGGGTTCACTGGGTTGATCTGAGGATTACATGGCATAATGAATCTGAAAGCATCAGGTAAGGTGCCTGGCACCTAGTGGGTAGGCTCGTGATATCTGTCCTCAAAATGTGCACAGATAGTAAACTTTCAGCAAACTCTCATGTTTTTCCTGTTGAAATTGGCAAGCAAGGAGCCCTTTCATCGAATGTGAGCTTGCTTCTTGGAAGGGCACGAATGTCAATTATTTGGACACCTGGTGGGGAACACTGGAAGAGGGACATAGAGCAGGGCTGGTGAGGGTTGGAAGTAAGTTCCAGCTGGGTTCTATAAGCTGAGTGACAGGTCTGGCTACTATGGGGCAGGGACAATTCATACTTTTCTTGAGTACCCTGGGAGAGGATACTAGACGAGGGTGGGTGAAATTGATAATGAAGTCTAAAAATGAAGAGACTGACTCCACCCTGCTGAGGTGAGAAAAGCTGTATTCTAATGAGCTCTGATTCAGAGCCATGCTGACAAGTCAGGGGCTGGCTGAGAACTGGATGGGCACCCTCCCCGTGGGTGTCAGGGTCCCTGGCACCGCCTTCACAGAAGGGAGAAGCTGCAATTGAGATTGCGGTGTGGGTCCACAAGCCTAGGCTCCATCATATCTCCAGAGACGGAGACCCTGCTTACATATGGTCCCAGGCAACAGGAGGTCCTTTTATGTGAGGCCAGTGCTCCTTGATGCTGCCCTGCTGAGGGTCTAAAAGCCTTGATTCGCTTTGGCTAGTTTGGCTCAGTGGTTAGAGCATCAGCCTGCAGGCTGAAGGGTCCCGGGTTCGGTTCCAGGCCAGGGCATGTACTTCAGTTGCAGGCTCGATCTCTGGCTCTGGTCGGGGAGCATGTAGGAGGCAACCAATGGATGTGTCTTCTCTCTCACATCGATGTTTCTCTCTCTCTCCTCCCTTTCTCTCTCTCCCTTCCATTCTCTCTGAGAAAGCAATGGAAAAAATATCCTCAGGAGAGGATTAAAAAAATAAATAAATGAAAGCCTTGATTCATCAGACCTTCTTTCTCCCTCCTGGGGATTTTTACCCTTTGCCCTTTCCCAAACAAGAATGGAAAGAGGGAAATCAGGAACTTTATCTTCGTGTGAGTCATTAAGGAAATTGCCACTTAAAATCAGTACTCCTTACCCTAATCCTTGCCGCCTGGGCACCAAACCATCTCACCTGGAGAGAAGGGCTGAAAGAAAGTGGCAGCTGTGCCAGCTGGACACCTGTAGGGTGTGGGCGGGGCTTCGAGCCTGGGGAGAGTTCTGAAACAGTGACAGTGGGAAACAGGCCACACGCTCTCTGCCTTGCTGCCCTGACCCTTTGATAAGGTCCCAGGTGACTCCTGTAGCTCGATACCAACACATCTCCAAGTCCACCTACTCTCTGAAGCTTCAATTAGTCACCTCCTAGGCATTAATCCTGTCACTAAGGCAACACGTTTCTTACCATGCCAAGGCCTCCCTGTTACCACAGTGGAAGCTGTTTACCCCTTGAGCAACCTTAGATGTACATGTCCTTGATCTTATGGGATCTGAAAAGGCAGGTTAGAAAAGAAGGGACTGGATAGGAGGAGAGAACACAGTTTTGGATCTTGTTTTAATGGGTGTTTTCAGTAGCCTTCCAAGTTCATTAGATGACTCACCACCTGACCAACTATGTTGGTTAGTATGTGGTTGCTTAGTATGTATGTGGACCGCTAGTTGAGCATCGGAATAACTGGGCAGCCTTTGTGGTAAGACAAAGTTTCCCAACTCTGAAGCTCCTGGGAGTTCACCAGGCATATCCATCTGCTGGCCCAGGCCCTGGCCCACACCCTAGGGGACAGTAGCGAGGAAAAAGCAGGGATTCTGAACCACGCTCTGGGCTCCCATGGCCACCCAAAGAAAAGAGAAGCTCTCACCCAAGGACAGAGGTAGCAAAAGTGGGCCTGGCTTTATCAGAGTTGACCAAAGGCCTGCAATGGTACAAAAGCTGGCCTGAGCTGCCTGTGACCACTGTGAGAATAGCTCACAGGATCTCACAGGATCTTCATGGTCCATGGTTAGGAGACTCACCCCTTGCTTCTGTCTCAGACACTTCCTGGACACCTGCCCTGGGCCTTAAGGCAAAGGACAGGGCCTTGCAGCTCTCCCCAGCTTTGTGGCCGTTGACCTTTTCTCCGAGGGCTCTGGTCCTCCTGCTCACAGCTGCTGACCTTGGTGCTGTGGACCCCTCAGTCACTCACCCTCAAGGGCCTGTTTCCCCCCACACCCTCAGGACAATCAGCCCATCCTTGGCTCCAAATTCTAAGGAAACCATGAGGAAACACGCCAAGATACAGAGAACATAAAATTCTGAGAATCTGGGGAAAACAAAGANGCCACCCAAAGAAAAGAGAAGCTCTCACCCAAGGACAGAGGTAGCAAAAGTGGGCCTGGCTTTATCAGAGTTGACCAAAGGCCTGTAGGGAGGATGGCGATCGAGAAACCATCACAGAGCAATAGGGCACAAAGCCGGGGAAGAAACTGGGCTTTAGAGTCAAACAGATCTGGGTTCAAATGTGAGTTTCTATGCCTACAGATGACCACAGGCAGCTTAATTCCTTTAATGCAATTTCCCCACCTGGTCTAATGGAGAGTGGGGGTGACTCCCACCTGATTGGGTTGTTGTGAGGGTTAAATAAGGTAATATACATGCAAAAAGCATCTGGTGCATGGTATGTGCTCAGACACTGTTACTTTCCCTTCCCTTCTTGAACATTTCCATGGACAGAGATTTCAGTTCCCCCTGAGAAACCTCTCTGTGGTTAGAGCTCTCCATAACTAAGAGGGTCTTCCATATGTCCAATTAGAGTGGCTCAGACTTTGCTTTGTCTGCTTCCTGTTGCTCAGCACTCGGTGCGACAGAGAGAGAGCGAGCTCAGCAGCCTTTTCAGAAAATCCCTCAGACACATGAAGAAAATATTTTGAGTTTTAGCTCAATAGCAACCAATTCTACCTTAAGGATAGAAATAGGTACTATTAGAAAGCGGGCTGTGGAAGAGGCCTGAGCTCAGAGTGAGGACTGTTCACAGTGCAAACTCAAATTTTAACAGTCACCCATCTACCTTATGGGGTCTGCCAGACATTTTGTAATGAATATTTATGTGGTGCCAAGTATTGTGCTATGTGCTTTGAACACATTTGAGTGTTACGGGAACCCTATGAGGCAATTATTATCACACTTTTCTTTCCTTGAATTTCCTACATGAGGAAACTGAGACTGAAGTTCACACAGCTAGCAAGGTGCAGGGCTCACGTCTGTATCCAGACAAAACTGTATTTCCCCTCTAAGGATGCAGAGCCTCAGGCTCCACAACAAATAGCATTGAGGGGCTAGCTTCAGGAACCTTTCAGTTGTTAAAGAATGTGAAATTCTGCAACAGCTACCGAAGAAGGCTGTGCGATGTCTTCTCCTGACTACCCCACCGTCTGGCACCCCTTAGGGAGTATGGACCCGTAACACACATGGAGAGGTTGACTCCTACAGTCTTTCAGGGCACGTGTGACAATTTTCTGTAACTCTACCATGTCCACTTTTGCTTTGTGTGTGTGTGTTGGGGAAGGGGGGGGGTGTCTTTATAATCTGTTAGAGAGGGTGCTGTTTGAGAAGTAGAAATGTGTACCTACTGAGTATCTGAATTAAAATTTTCTTTCGGACACACTGAACAGTACCACATATTCAGAACCATAAGGAGATGGAAGCAGGTGTGTGTGCTGGTTGTCCTGTAGACAGAGGGGTCCAAGGCTAGTTTCTCCCTTGGGATAGGCAACACCCGAACTGTCACAGCTCAGCTATGTCCTTGTCTGGAGATATAGCTCTGGGTGTCTTCACTTAAGGAGGGCCTCTACTCTGGGGCTGAGGGCAAAGCTTATATTTGAATTATGAAAATGAACACTTACAAGTAAGGGCCAATGTATATAAGTCAGCAAGCGGTGAAGGGTTACCATATATATTATAATGAATAAAAGATCGATGCAGGTTTCCAGAACTGTGATTGCTATGTATGACTCATGGGCTTCAGCGATGATGAAACAAGTTATTGATCCCATGAGAAGACCCTGCAATAAAAGAGACAGGTTTTGTTTTAATGCACATGGGCTATTAGAAAACACACCATAAATTCTTAGAATGCAAATCTGATTATACTGAAATTGCCCATATTGTTTTGCACATACATTTCATTTTTAAAATTTTTTGGGGAAAAAAAGAAAGAAAAAAAAAGTAAAATTTTTTGTATTTTTAAGATATGAAATAATACACACAAATAATAAAAATGCACACAGTATAGAGGGATAAAAAATACCATTAGTTTCTTTCACCTCCCTTAACCCAACCCCAGCCTGTCTCCTTAAAACTAACCACTGTTGCCCTGGCCAGTATGGCTCAGTGGTTAGAGTGTCTGCTGAAGGGTCGTGGGTTCGATTCCCGGTCAGGGGCACATACCTGGGTTGCAGGTTCCATCCCTGGCTCCAACAGGCCCATGTGGGAGGCAACCAGTCAATGTGTCTTTCTCACATGGATTTTTTTTCTCTCTCTCTCCCTCCCTTTTCCCCTCCCTTCCTCCATTCTATCTCTTTAAAAATCAATGGAAAAAATATCCTGGGGTGAGGGTTAACCAAAAAAAAAAAAAGTAACCATTGTTAACTGTATATTTTATACCAGAAAGACGTATGTATATACAGGTAGTGTAGAGTAAGTACATGTTGATTTTGATAGAGTGAGGGAGAGCTGCAGCTTGCTTTCTTTACAAAGAAAACTTTCCAGTAGCTTCGGATGATCCCAACATCATTTATTGAGAAACACCAGTATTTTCCCCATTGATCTAATACCGAAGTCTTTATTATATACTAAGTTCTCAGGTAGATTTGGGTCTTTTTTGAGACTGCTCTTGCATTGATTAGATGATTTCTTCTCTAGTACTTTTGAAATTACAGGGAATTTGTTTTATATCATATATTCTGACCTGGCTGCCCTTTCCATACTCATTCTCAGACTGTTTACGCCTCCCATGCTTGACTTGGTCAAGTTCCCCAAACTAAGCCTTTTGGTATNTATGTATATACAGGTAGTGTAGAGTAAGTACATGTTGATTTTGATAGAGTGAGGGAGAGCTGCAGCTTGCTTTCTTTAATTGGGATTTCATTTCATTTATAATCTGGAAATTTAATGCAAAATTTGGTCTTACTATTCAAGAACAAAGTATATCTTTCCAGTTATTTTAGTGGTTTTTAAATATCAGTAGAGTTTTCAAGTTTTCTTCATATAGGTCTTTCAAATTTATTTCATTTAATCTTGATTATATTTTGATTGCTGTTGTAAACAAAAATATTTTCTTCCATTTTAAGTGCTTATTTGTTCATTTCTACTAATGAGTTGGTAGAAATTATCTTATTCTAAATTGTTTCCACCCTGGCCGGTTTTGCTCAGTGGTTAGAGCCATCGGCCCCGGGACTGAAGGGTCCTGGGTTTGATTCTAGCCAAGGGCAGGTACCTCAGTTGCAGGCTCCACCCCAGTCTGGGCATGAGCAGGGGGCAACCAACCGATGCCTGTCTGTCTGTCTGTCTCTCCCCCTCCCTTCCACTTTCTCTGAAAAGCAATGGAAAAAATATCCTCCGGTGAGTATAAATAAATAAATAAAATTAATTGTTTCCCAGTTGACTTTGAGTTTTTTAGATATTAGCTGAAAGAAATGATACATTTTGCCTCTTCTTTTCAAATGTGCTTATTTCTTTTTCCTAATTGTTATGACTAGTGGTTCCAGAAAAATACTGAATAACAGCATTAGTAGTGGGTATCCTCTTTGTTTCTCATTTTAATGGGAATACGTCTGATGTTTCATTTTATATGATGCCGACTTTTGGGTTTATTTTTATAATGTCAATGAAATATCTATGTATTTCTATTTTATTGGTCTCTCTTTTGCAATCAGAGATGAATGTTGAATTTTGTTCAATGTGTTTTGTACACTACTGGGTACATAATTTAGTATATAATGAAGACTGCGTATTAGATCAATGGGGAAAGTACTGGTGTTTCTCAATAAATGATGTTGGGATCATCCGAAGCTATTTGGAAAGAAAGCAAGCTGCAGCTCTCCCTCACTCTCTCCTTTTACTTATAATATATATGGTGGGTTATTCTGCTATAGTTTTAATATTGAATCATCCTGTTTCTTTTTCAGGGTCAGTTTTCAAAAGTTCTGATGAATATTTTCTGCTAATATATTAATACTTATTGCTTTGATACAAGTGAGATTTCTACTTAGTTTCTTTTTCTGAACTGGGTCAGGTTTTGATATCGGTGTTGCAGTGACTTTGTAAACATTGTTCAGACAGTTTTTTTCTGTTCTTTGAAAAACTTTGAATAGTATCAGGCTGCCCTTGCGTGAAGGTTTGAAAGAGTTAACCTGTGCAAAAGCCAGGGTCTGATACAGTTTTGAAAGATATTCATTTGATACGTCCGCGTTTGTATCGGCCTGTTTAGGTTTTTCTCTACTGTGGGATCAGTTTTGGTAATTCACATTTCCCTTGAAAAATCAACTATTCCATCCAGTTATTCAAATGGATTTGTTTCGCAAAGTGCTCTTGTGGCTCCTTTCAGTTCCATCGGTGTTTGTGATTATTTTCCCTTTCTGGTTTCTAAGTTTGAATATATGTCCTCTCCTCCCCCTCCCTCCTTTTTCTGTTATATTGGCCAGAGGTTTATCAATTCTGTTTATCATTTGTGTTTGCTAATTTACATGCTTACACTACTATCTTCATTGCTTCCCTAATTCCCTTTGTGAGGGGAAACCTGAGAAATAGAAAAGTAAGACAGGAAAAAAAAAAAAAAAGAAGCCAAATTTAGTAGTAAGGTTTGAGCGTGTGGAGGAACAAGGGGAGAGGGTACAGCACGGGTGACTGGCAGAGGGAACCAGGGGAGCTCTCCTAGGGCCACGGCCTGCAGCCGCTCAGCAGCTGCCCAGCCCAGGCACCAGCTCTCTCTGCTCACCAGTCTCAGGATCTTCAGCACTCCCGTGGGTGAGAAGAAAAACTGCTTGATGCTGTCCCTGAATTTGGGCGGGACTCTGCTGCGGCCCTCTGCACGCTTTTGGATGGCCTCCTTCTCGGATGTGCTGATGGCCGGCTCCGTCTGTGTTTGGCTCCGGGGCTCTGGTTCAGCTCGCTTCCGGAGTTGGGAGCCTCTGTCCTTCTTTGACTTTCTGCTTTGCACTCGGGATCCACGACGCGAGCGTTTGGATTGCTTCGTTGAGGGTGCACTGCGCCTAGGAGGCCCCGAGGCGGAGCGTATCCGGAATTTCCCCGGGGATTGCAAGTCCTCTGAATACTCCCTGGAGTCTTCAGAATACATGGTTGGTCCTGGGCTTGGCTATGTCAGGTTGGCTCTGACCCTGCACGGTGGCCGCTGGTTCTCCCCGGGTCACCAGCGTCGCGCCCCAACGGCCGCCGGCTGCCCATCCCTCGCGCGCACCCAGCTCTCCCTACCCTGGGACCAGCCGTACTCTCCAGGCACCCTCCTCGCCACCCGGGTCGCGCCTGTGCCTCACCTGGGAACTCAAGGTCGCAACCGCGCCCCTCCAGTGCTGCCGGCCGGCCGGCCAGCCAGCCAGCCAGCCAGCAAGAGGGCTCCGGAGGCCATTTAGGGCGGTCCTAGCGCCTTCTCGCCTGCCACTCAGGCTCTGGAGCGCAAAACCCGGAGGATCCCGTCCGGGC